GCCTGTAGCTCCCTTCCCCACCGGCCGCCCCTGCTGCTTCTTGAGCCTCGTGGAAGCCTGTGGCTCCCGCAGTTTCATTGTCATCTGTCAGAGAAAGTCTTTGGAGAACTCTAGTCAAAACAGCGTCCTGTGAACTCATTAGTGTCCGTGGTCTTCATCAGCTGCCATTTGCAGAGTGAAAGTGTGAAGGCGACACTTCTCTCCTTCTGGCAAGCCAGGGGAAGAAGTGGGAGGGAGTTGAAGGGAAACCGCAACACCTTTTTACCAATACCCGACTGCTGCAAAGGGAGGCAGGGGGCAGGATCTGGACCCAAGTCCCAACGAGCGCGGCTCCCTGGAACCTGTCCCCACCACCCTCACCCCCCAATTAAAAACCGAAGGCCCTGGCCCTGTCCTGCATGCCACCAAGGCTGATGTGAGGGTCGCTGGGGAAACCAGCACGTGGAAGCCCAAACAGTCACATGGGGAGAGGCGTGTTACACAGCAGACCTCACATGGGCCCCTGGGAGGTTTCCTCTCTGGGGCAAAGGCCAACCCTGCAAATTTTCGGGCCAAAATGAACCACAGAATTGGGGACAGATGTAAATCACACACTCAGACTTTTTTTTGTCCCTTATAAAAGTACTCTTGTGGAGTAGTTTGAGGGGCAAGATGAGGTGACAAGGAGGTTCCTAGGGAGAGGTTAACTGGAAAAATGCACTTCCTCCCAACACAGTTAAGTTACGGAGCGTCCTAGGCAACCGCGCTGAGCCAGGCCCCCCGCAGAGCCCCTTCCTGGAGTTCCCATGGAACTGCGGAGTGGTAGCAGCCTTGGGGAGAGGTGGCTCTTGGGGCCATTTCAGTTCCCGGGCCTGAGCAGCAGTGGGGCAGCTGCTTTCTGTGTGGCCTCTGAAGCCAGGGCCACCTCGCTGCAGGACGGATCCAGCCAGGCCTCTCGACCCAGTTTCCACCTCTTGGCACGCGGGAGAGCAGAGGGCTGATGTGCAGGGTCACACGGCAGAGCACGTGGAGGTGTGGCGGCATCCCTGGCGCGCTCTGCGGGGCTGCTCCAGGGAGGGCCGAGTGCCCTGGAACGTGAGGACCGCTCTGGGGCCGCTTGCGTTGCCAGGCGCGCCGTTGCTGGGTGACCCGCGGGCTGTTTACCGTGGGGCTCGGAGCCACTGCGCCCTGGCTCACCGCGTGCTCGTCGCGCCCACCATGGCCTCCCGCAGCGCGGGCACCCTACTGACCGAGTTCAATGCCGCCTACGTGCCCCCTAGCCTCATGCCCGGGTAAGGCCGCGCCGCACCCCGGCCCCACCGGAACCTGACGGTCGGGGCTTGGGGGTCCGCCCCTCCCCCCGCAAGCGCCCCCCTCTGTCATCCTTTCTGCCGCCCTGCGCTTTGGGGTCTGCGCTCTCTCAGAGCCCGCAGTGGGCGGGCGCCCGCAGGGTCCCTGGTGAGCCCAACCAAGGACCGGGATAACGGATAACGGGACCTCGCGTGGATGCGGCCGCGGATGGGGAGGAGATGGAGCCACGGTGTGGGGTTGGTGCTTGGAGGGGCCCCAGGCGGGCAGCCTGGAGCACATACAGAGAATGTGGGCGGTACCCGAGAAAGGTGCAGCCCCTTGCCGTCCCCAGCGCAATGCGGGCACCCAGGCTTCCGGCAAGATTAGTATGTGTTGGTTGAAGGAGGGAAGGAGACCGGGCGCGCTCTTGCTCGAAGAGTCTGGCAAGGCGGGGTGGGCAGCAGTTAGTGGTTAATAGAGCGCACAGTGCACCATCCACCCGACTTTGTGGTCGGATCTTTCACTGGCCTCACTTTATCCTCCCAGAGTTTGATTTTGAAATCATCCCAGCCGCCTGCGCTGAGTGCTGCCTTGCTTGTAGCGTTTTCAAATGATGGGTCGCTCCTACCTTTCTTTTCCCTGGATGTTTCCAAACTCCAAACATCTAAGATGCAAGTCTGACTGTTCCCTCCCACTCTTTGGTCCTTTCTTCTAAAATGTCTGATATCTCCACTCCCAATTTCCTCTTCCAGGGTGTAAGATTGTCTTCTCTCTCCTACCAGTCAGCATGGGCACGAGGACACCAACTGGACACTGAGAAGGAACCTGCTCGATGTCAGCAAGTGTGAATGGACTGAATGAATGAAGTGAAGGTCTTGAGAGCTCTGCAGACAGGGTCTCCAAACGGGTGAAAAAACCACATTGATCTCTCCTGCAAGGGGAACTGGCTGCAAAATGAGGAAAAGAGTACATTTTGTATAAAGTTTGGATTGTTTTGAAGCAGAATAGGCAAGACACTGAGGAGCTGTAATATTAAAATCATTTCTGGACAACGTGCATGGGGACGTAGCAGCAACTATAGTTTTAACTCAGCCCGTTTGTGAACAGGACCTTTCTTTGTGCCTTAGAGAGAGCTCAAAGCTACTTCGGGTTGTTCCCATCGGACAAATCTGATTTATTAGATCATAGCAGTTTCTTGAAGCCAAGCCAGGCATGTTAGAAAAGGTGACTTAGGATTTGCCTGTTTTTTTGTTCGTTTAGACATTCATTTGATAAAGACACGTCGAGTGCTTGGGATGTGCCGGGTGTTGTCTTAAGATGCTAGGGAGACGGAGACAAATAAGTGGGGCTGCCCTTGAGGGGCTTCCAGTCTGGGTTTAGTTCGAATCCATTTTGCAGCCTTGGCCAGTGGTGTTCTGGATGTCTAGCACGCGATTTGGTTTTATACTTTGATATTTTTTTCTTAAGCTTGCCACAGTCCCCAGTTGGAACCTCTTGCATTGTCTGACTCCTTGACCATTTCCTATCCGTGGGGCAAGGGCTGGGGCTCCTGCAAACCCTGCTCCTGCGGGTCCCCACTCTGGTTGTTTCAGGAGCAATCCCAAGGCTGCTTTCTATCCATGCCACTTGGCATAGTTCCCGTGAGCACCCTGGCCTTGTGGTTGAGTGAGAAATGGTGATAACAAGAAGATCACGAATAAGGCCTCAAGGCTGCACTGGGCTAGTTTGAGCAGTCGAGCCTGTATCTGCTGCCTTCTCATCTGGATCCTTCTGGGAGGGATGCGCTCTCCTTAAAGATTCCCTTCATCGAGGAATGAATTGAGTCATTTTATGTTTCTAAACACTACTTCTTTGGCAATTTTGTTAACTTAATGAAAGAATCCAAGATTTCCCACCACACTTGGATAATTATTATTTTTGTGTGTCTTTTCAAACATTAATCACAGGATTTTAAAACACAGCTAGTCTGTTCTGACACTCAAATCACCCCCCTTACCAGCTTTATTCGTAGAGGCAGAGACTATTCATGCTGGGAAGGACCTCAGCCCCCTCCTGTTCCAGATGTGGTCACTGAGGTCTGGCGGGGGCACTTGCCTGAGCCCCACACTGGTGACAGTAGAGCTGGGCTGGAACCAGGTCGCTGATGCCTGGTGGTAACACCATGAACCTTGTGTATGAGTGCCAACTATGTGCCAGGCACTGTGCCGGGCCCTTTACAAACTTTCTTTTTTTAATATATCATCACAACATTCCTGATGATGAGTGAGCAGCTTGTCCAAGGTCATTCAGCAAGTATGGTGTCAAGCCAAGTCTATGTGACTTCAATACCCCAGCTCACCCCGATATGTACCCCAACCTGCATGTGGCCTTTCACACTGCAGGGAGGGAATGGGATGGATGGTTGGAAATAGACTCTGGAGCCAGTCCACCTGGGTTCAAACCCTGGCTCCATCCCTTCCTTACCCTGGGCAACTTATTTATCCTCTCTGCCTCACTTACCTTATCTGTTAAATGGGGATGATAATGGTGTGCGGGTTAGATGCTTAAATTAGTTAATATGCATAAAGCCTGGCACCTGATAATTGTTAGCTATTATCATTAGTTAGGTCCCTACTGTGTTCAATGCCTGATTCTAGGCAACGTTGGGACCAGGAGACAACAACAATGATGCTGGTCTTCAGGCTAGTTAGCCAGGTGCTCCATTTGGTCCCTTGCTGCTCTTGGGTGGCACAGCTCACAGGCACCTTACCAAAGGCAGTGTCTGCATGTGCCTGGCCTGACTGCCATCCCTGCCACAGGCAGGAACTCTTGGGTCAGAGTTTCTGGGATTGTGAGGCATTTGAAGGGGTGAGACTGGCCTCAGTGAGAGTCTGAGCTTCCTGCTCGCAGGTTGGACCTGGGTGGCTGCCACACACCACCTGGCTTGCAGTGCAAACACTTGGCCTGCCATTGTGCATTCATTTGTGCCCAGACTGCTACTGTGTCTGATGCCCACGGCTCCTGCCCAGTGGCTCTCACCAGGAGTGAGGGCAGGAAGATCAGCACCCCAACCCCCCCTGCATCTGCCTGGAGTGGCAGCTATGCCCACATCTGCCACTGAGCTGGGCTTCAGAGCCCTAAAATCAGTGCATTCCATACTCACCATTGTCCCACAGAGGCGGTTGTGTCCCCATCCCCAAAATCGCTGTACAACAGACATGCCCAACCAGGCATTGCTGGTAAATGTTTAACAACCAGTTCTCTGGAGGCAAAAAGCCTTGATTTGTAACATCGACCTGTCTCTGTGGTGTAAACACTCCTGCCATAGCTGATTTCAAGCTGTCGACATCGCATCCCTAATCACAGAGTTGGGAAGAGACACACAGCAGCACACCCTTATATAGCATTTCCCCTACAGATGCAGCGGGGGCAAATAACCTCAACAGTACAGACAATAGCAAGAGGTAGTAACATAACAAGGAAGTCATGAGTTTTGAGTATGATATCACCTTTGTTTATAATATAGTTTATGTAATTGCAACTTTATATAATTTAATTTGTAATACTGGCTTCGAGATGGGCCTTGAAGGGCAGATAAGATCACGATGGGGTGGAGAGGACGGCTTGAGGAAAGGCACGGGGTGGAGGTCCCACAGGATGGTCTCAAAGCAGCCGACGGCCTCTCCGGCTGGGTGGAGAAGCTGCGTGAAAGTGGGTAGGACTGGAGTGACTTCCCCCAGAGGCCCGCAAGGAGGACCTTTAGCAGTTGGCTCGGCTTGTTCTTGATGTCACAGGCAATGGGGAGCCCTTGAATGTTCTTGTGTGGGGGAAGGGTCTGATCAGAAGTGTCCTGAGTAGGAGCAGTTGTGGAGAAGAGGATGCACTGTGGAATGGGGACGTGCTGAATAGTAACAAGTTAATTAGTTAATAAGGCTGCTCGTGGGATTCCCCGATGGCTCATGGTAATTAATTTTAATGTTAGCTGTGGGGCCAAGCAGTGCTATTACAGGCAGGAAGGGACTGCTCCCTATGCACACAGCAACCCACGGTAGACTTCAGAATCCACGTGTGACCATTGCCCCGAGGCCCGGCTTGGCACTGTCTCCTGGCTTGTGTCCGAGACAAGAAGATGGAGGGCGGGTCAGGGGTCGGGGGAGATGAACGGGTTGAGGAGAAGGGTGGTGGCACCAGCCAACGCAGCAGATGCTGCCATCAGGACTGTTCTATGCCCTGTTGCAAGACTTGCCATTTCCCTCTGTTCCTCTCCACTCTGACCTGCCCCAAGACCAACCCAAGCAAGGCTGCAGAACACTCTACCACGAAGCCGCATAGGGTCGTGCTCAAGGCACACAAATGCAGGTGTGTACCAGGGACACAGACCTGGCTTGCAAGGTGTGCTTTCGGAGTGCTAAACAATGTGGACATGCACATGCGTGTGCTCATGTGCACACACACGCACACACACACACCTGCCTGAGCAGCAAGCTCTGCACGGAATCCAGGCAGAACTCAGGAGGATGCGGAGGAGAGGGCTTCTATTCTATTGGGATGCAAATATCTTGGCATTCAGAGAAGGTGGGAAAGCAGGGAGCAGAGGAGGAGTATGGCAGAGAGCTTGGGGGTGGCGGAGAGAAGAGTCACGGGAACACGTCACTTTTCTATGGCTCCTTTCTTCCGAGGAAGAGCCCGACGCCCCCGTGGGCGGGATGCTTCGTGCCTACTCCAGCTCTGAAGATCAGGGGCGGGCTCCTCTTCAACAGCCTCCAGGACGTGGTGCCCCCAGGGTTTCCGGACTTCTCCCTCCCTCTGTGAACACTTATTGAGCGCTGTCATGTATGTGCCCGGCGCCCAGGATAAAGGAGAACACACATCGGGGGGAGATATGTTCGTGTGGGTCCGAGTGTGGACTTAAGGACAATACCCCGAATGGTGAGCGAAGGTGCTAGCCACAGGGCGTGCGGTCAGGGGAGGCCACAGAGAGCACTTGATGAGTGAGCGGCCCATCCCCAGGTAGGCAGCAGGC